CAGGACTGAAACATTTATGTGTCTATAAATGTGTGTGTGTGTGTGTGTGTGTGTGTGTGTGTGTGTGTGTGTGTGTGTTGCGTTCAGGTTGAAGGGAGGACTTCGGTCATCGAGACATTCAGACAGCTGATCAAAGAGGAGGGTTTCTGGGGGTTGACCAAAGGACTGTCGGCACGCATCATTTCATCCACTCCCACCGCCATCGTCATGGTGGTCGGCTACGAGACGCTAAAAAAACTGAGCTTGCGTCCGGAGCTGGTGGATTCGAGACACTGGTAGAAGATACCGGGACACGCGATATATATGGACCATGTGCCATTTCAGCCCCTCAGCCCCCGAATCAGACTTCCTGTGAAAGCACCGGAGGAAAGGAAAGGTTTGTTTTAAATAACAGCCGGGGGAACAAAATGGAATCAGGCCCCCTTTAAAAACACTGACTGTGTTTCAATGTGTATTTGACCACTCATACCAACATATTATTATTTACAGAGTAGAAGTCACACCCAGGCAGTTTGCTCGTGTCGCTGGTTCTACAGGGTTTTTGCTTTTTAGTGCGAACAGAAACAGTGACTGCAGCATTGTTTTAAGAGATGCAGACAAATTGATGCAACATTATAGGATCAATCTTCTACGTTTGGGCGGCGCACACTCTACAATCATGTTCCAGTGAAGAGAAGTGGAATTGACTGTTATTATCTTGGGTAGTTTGTGCCGTGCGACCGAAGCCAAGCTCATTAAAAACCTGGTTTTGATCAGGGGTTTGGAGAAAAGCTTGTGTAACTCACGATGACGCATTCACATCAGCATTTAAACAAATCTCTCCCCGAGTTTTTATTCCCTTACTCACCAAACTGGCTTCCGTGTCCGTTCTGCAGCTCCTCTCTCTTGGCCTTTTTAAATTGCCGCCTTCATTAGTGTGAAGTCACTTTTTGTTTTTTAGCTGCTGAATGTGCAAGAGAAGAACAATAGGCGTTAGAATCTGTGACGTGGCAGTTTTTATCTTGTGGGTTTATTTGTGCAGTCAAAATAAATGACTCGACCATTTCCATGCAAATATTACACATGCATTGCATCAGACATTGTGTAACATACTAGTCTGCTGTCTTACTGTAGAAAATATTCCCGTGAGCGAGCTGGTTATTAAACCACTGTGGAGGACTCCCAGTTAAAACCTGAGGGAAAGTGACCGAAGCAGAAATAAGACTTTGCTCTTGTGACAGTAAATGTTTTAGTGCAATAATGTAAATGTTTTTATCCTTTTCAGCACAAAATGTGATTGTATATTTCCTGTAAATTGTGTGAATAACTTCATGCATTTTACCTAATTTATTTTATTGTCTGCTTTTTGGATTTCACATTGTCAAGTTTGTTTTTCATTTGTTTTAATATGAATAACTTTGAGTTTTGTGGCTTTTTTTGATGCTTTTTTTATCACTGCGTTAGTGGCTTTTTGGGAAAGGTAAATCATATTTAACTATAATCAGCTGTGGTCAGTTTTTAGAACTGATCTTTTTCCTTTTTTAATGAATTATTTCCATATGACACCAGATGTTTTCACTGAAGCTACTTTCATAGAGAAAGAAGAGCAGCAACAGGCTGATTTTACTCTGACTGAAATGTGAAAGTTTGTTCAGATGAAGCCATAATGTCCCGTAAAGTTTTCTTTAATTATATGAATTTGCTCAGGCCAACATGTGTCACAAACTTTAACGGGATCCCCGATGAACTCTGGAGTATCTCGTAGATTCACTTCATCTTCATCTTTTAAAGGCCTGTTTTACCAAAACTAAAATCAACGTCTGTGTTTAGATCCACTACATTTTCTTTTTCTTTTTCGCAGCTTTCAGCAGTTCTTGGAGCGCGAGTGCGTTAACCAGAACTCGACTGTCGTGTACAGAATACATGTGGCTTCACGGCTCGTGTCGTCTCGTCTGTTTGCTCAATAAAACATCTCGACTGCTGAGTTAACTTTGTGCTTTTTCTGTGTTCCAGGCAGAATCTTTTTTTCATTTCTAGTTTCAGTGTTGTCTTTAAAATGTTTAAATAATTAAAATGATTGGATTAGCAGATGTCCTGTTGGGCGATATAACCCCGACCCTCAGATAAACCAGCTTGGATTACTTAGTGTTTGTGTGGTTGGACTGTGAGAACAGCCCTGTTACATTCAGTACGATTCTTCAGACACTGAAGCAGTTTTGATTTTGCAATTTTCTTTTCACAATATACAGGAAACGTATTCCATGTTTTGTAATAAAACTGACAGTGTATAATGAAAGTTTTACCTCACTGGAGAAATAACTGCATAGGAGAGACAAAAGCTGCAGAGAAAACTTAAAATACACGTTAAGTCAGATTTCACCAATTAATACCAAAAAAATACCAAAGTAAGTCCCACATATGTTTTAAAGAATCTCTATTTCCACGAACAGGACAATAGATGGCAGCAGACAAAGCTCTTACAGCTCACATCTTTCCCTCCGTCCTGAAACTTTCCCTCCTGGAAATAAAACCGCCCAGAGACCAACAGATAAATCTAGTGATGAATGAAACAAGCGAGGAGGCCCGGGTGAAGGCGGCGGACGAGGCCTTCTCCGAGCTGACACTTCCCGGTGGGATGACGGAGCGTCTCCCTGCTCCGCTCTGTACATTAATGATCAAGCAGGGTCTGAAGGCACTTTGTCAAAAAGACCGATGAGGCGCCGTCAGAGAGGAAACAAATCTGACTCTGCCGGGGTTAGAGGAAGGGCCTCTCGTTCTCATGGGACGTCACAGTGGGAGCTCTACCAGCGTGTGTGTGTGTGTGTGTGTGTGTGTGTGTGTGTGTTGGATAAAGGTGGGATGGTCAAAGCACTGAGAGGATGGGATGTTAATGAAAAGCGTTGAGACGTGAGGAGCAGCTGAAGACAAACGTCCACATGGAGCTTTGTAAAGACTCAGGTTCACGTGTGACATGATGAGACATGCGTTAACACAGATGTTTCATCTTTAACCCTCTGAGGTCGACAGATGTTTCCATTAATATCTTTGCGGTAACACAGCGGAGAAACATGATGATTGAACGTTGTGAGAATCTGTCGACTCTCCACTTCACGTTTCATGTTCACGCGAGATCGTACGAGACTCGTGGGCGGAGCTAGAAGGCCGCGAAGCAGGCCAATAAAATCTGTTTAAAGCAGAGTGACAGAACATTTGTTATTCATTTATCTTATGACTTTACTCACGTGTTCATGAAGCTAAATTCATCCACATCAGTCAAGGTTTGTTTTCACGAGGGATTTGAAGAATTTAAAAAAAAAGCATTTGGACTAAATGATCTGCAGTGTCAGCAGGGAGGAGGAGCCTCACAGAAAGAGCTGAGATACTTCTGAAAACGGGGACATAAAGCACCTGGGTATTATCGACTATCTTATATCTGTATCTTAAGAAATAATGTAGAAATTGAGAAAATACCCAGAGACCTCTGAGGGTTAATAAATGTCCTTGGTCACAAAGCTGGACAGAAATGATCCCTGGGGGTCTGACCTTGGAGTTAATGTCATTTTAATGACTGTGTTTTCTCAGACACTGCATCTGTGATGAGCTGTGGGCGAAACAACAGCAACATAAAGTGAGACTTTTTCTGCTGAAACGACTGAAACTTAAGGAAGAAAATCACTGGATTTGTCCGACTCACGCTTCAGAAGCTTCGTATCAACTTCAGCTGAACTCCAACACAGATCTGGGCCTGTGGACTTTGTCCCTCATGTCTCACCCCGACACGGAGACAGGATCTCTTCTCGGCCAGTGGACGACCAGAACCTGTGTCACTGTGCAGGTGGGAGGGGCTGTTTGTACGGCACGTTATCACACACAGAAAAGTGAAAGCACAAAAAGAAAACAGTATAAAAACACAGATTACAAAATAGATAATGTCTATATCAAAGTGCAAAGATGAACAGATGAAATGGAGGTTTTTAATCTTCTGTTTAAAGTTGCAGTTTGGCTGCTTCCAGCAGGGGGCAGCAGAGAGGCTGAAGACCATGTCACCCTGTTTTAACTCTGGGCTCCATCAGCTCCTCCACCTCCTCACACACCTATCTGACATGATGTTCCTATATGTGGAACATTTCTGAACTATATGATTGTGACTTATAGACAATAAAATACAGCTTTGAATTGATCTCTGTATCTGATGGAAGCCCGTCAGAGACCTGACAACTGGAGCTACAGCCTCCCTTCTCTTAGTTGTAGTAGGAACCCGAGCAGCAGCGCCTGAAGAAGAGCGGCGTGATGATCGACTCTGGAAGATGTGAAGTGCGTTAATAAGGTCAGGAGGCCCAGCACTTTCACTTTCATCCTTCTTTGTTCCCAACAGAACTTTCTCCGTCTGGTCTTTATTCGATTGGAGGAAGATAAGATCATATGAGTGTTGAACCCGTCCTTTAACTGAGATTTGTTCCTCTACCATCTAACACTGGAGGTGAACGACATTTTCTCTCTTACAGTCAAAAAGAGTTCGAGTGGATACTATTGGACGCTTCATCTCCAACCCTGGGCAAATAAAACCCAAACCCTCTACATGACCAGGTGCAATTAGGGGTAAGTGAGAAAATATGTAATTTTTTTAATGGAATTTGAATGAGCTGACCCTTTAAAACCAACTTCCACACCTCCGTACAAAAGGAGGAGTAGATGATCCTCTGCTCCGCCGCGGGTGCCAATGAGAAACACTTAAAGGCTTTAGACTAAATATCTGTATAAATCCCAGTCAGATCTCAGTCAGAGAAGAGGCAGCAAGTCCTTCCAACCAAAACATGATTTAACTGCATCATTAACAGAAATCTGTGATGAGAATAATCCATGAGGAAGCGTGTGTGGGAGAGGAAGCAGGGGTGGAGGGGGTTCAGGCTGCTGTGTGGGATCACACAGGGAGGAGGAGGAGGAGGAGGAGGAGGAGGAGGGAACGCAGGGAGAGAAAGAGCCTGAAGAAAGGGAGTGCAGGAGACGACAGACGACAGGAGGCGAAGGCTGAGCACGCAGACCGGACCCCACAGGAAGGAAAAATGGCCAATTTCGCAGGAAACTGGAAAATGAAAAGCAGCGAGAATTTCGATGAGTTGCTGAAAGCTCTGGGTGAGGACGGTCTGCTCTCTCTTCTGTGAAGGTTTGAACGTGTTGTAGTGAGAAGGGCTTTAGAGATGATCCAGGGACTGAAGATGAGATGGATGAGCTCGTCACAGGTGGATTATCTGCCCCGCAGACACCTGGGTGACGGACGTCACACGGCAATTAAGGTTCATTTAGAAAGTTCTTTTTTTAGATTTTCAAATGTAAAAACTGCTTGTGAGACTTTGAGCATCTTGGATTAAATTCACAGAAATAAAGAAATTAAAACTGCTGCCAACGATCTACTGTCTAATTTAGCTCTGCAGGTTTTTTAGCTGCAGGTTCCAGGAAACTGAACAACGCGCAGCACAACTGGTTTTAATTAGAGAAGGAGACAAACTCGTCTTGTTTTACACGAACAGATGCCGAGTCTGAGTGACGGACCTCCAGAGAGGAGAAACAGACTGAAGCGGTTCTCTCTCTCTCTCTAATTGTTTGCACTGCGACTGTGTGACTTGATAGTTTTTCCACTCATTTGGAGACAGACTCCATCACATCTACAGGAGAGCCAAACAAAGCATTCCTGGCTCTCATCACCTCGTCACTGACTCTGCTTTCACAATGTGCTGATAACCATCTCTCCTGCAGCTGCTGGAGGCTCCTGGTTTTTTTAAACATGGAAACCAACATCTCTGTGCAGTGATTTCTTCTCCCGACAAATAAAAAGTGATTTGTTTTGAGATAGGAAAACCCTTTAAGCATTTCTGCTAAATTAGCTCCGTCCCTGAAACACTAATGTTTTTGGCGCCAGACGCAGACAGCAAAAATATGAGGTGACACGCCTCAATGTCAAACGATAAATTACGGAGAAAGCGGCTCTTCTACTTGTCAGTTTTATCCATTTACTGCTTTACAGACTCGTCGGCACTACTTAATATTCACAGGTGTGTCTGTGTTCCCGTGTCCAGGTGTGAACGCCATGCTGAGGACCGTAGCTGTGGCCGCCGCGTCCAAGCCCCACGTGGAGATCAAGCAGAACGGCGAGCAGTTCTACATCAAGACCTCCACCACAGTCCGCACCACGGAGATCAACTTCCTCATTGGTGAGGAGTTTAATGAGGAGACGGTGGACGGCAGAAAGTGTAAGGTAATCTTAATTAACTGCCTGAACTTTTATTTTGAAATATTTGCCCGTCTTGCTGACCCTCTAAGAATAAGAGAAATATGGACATACAACATGAGAAGGGTGTGAGTTTGTTAGCTTCTTGTATTCAAGATAAGTCTGGGATGTTGCATACTCCCACCTGCACCTGAACGCACCATGAAAGAGTCAAAAAACTGTTTACATGTTTGTACAACTAATCTGAGAAAAACTAAAACCCGTTTGCTTTAGACATTAGTAAACGGGCTAAAACATGCAGAGGAGTCCGGTGTGAACCTTCAAAGACTGGACAGGAGAGAAGAAGTAAACTGACCTCTTGTCGACCACTTGTGTTTTTACTGCTGACCTCCTGTTAACCAGGTGAAACAGACGGGATAAATATAAGAAAACCTCATTAAAGTGCTGCTTCTCTATAGAGCTTGGCCACTTGGGAAACAGAAAACAAGATTTACTGCAAACAGACTCTGCTGAGCGGGAACGGCCCCAAGACCTTCTGGAGCCGAGAGCTCCGAGGGGAGGAACTCGTGCTGGTGAGTGGCCTTTTAATTTTTCACTGTACCCAGAGATATGGAGAGATAAGAAAAGAGAGGGCCACATGCAAGGCGGAGTAGACTTCATCTAATCTACGGATCGTAGCCAGAGATAATCACCTCTCTAAGGCTGCCACCTCAGGAGTCACACGTCCTTTCTCTCTCTCTCTCTCTCTTTGGAAAATGTGTTTTCTTTCATAAGATTGTGGATCCCAAACGCTCACAGCAGGAAGCCTCCATCTAAAGTCTCTGCAGATCGATGAACAGATGTTTGGATGTTTTGCAAAGTCTGATGAGGTGTCAGATTTGGAGCTCTCTCTCTCTCTCTCTCTCTCTGAGCACATGGAGCACCGGCTACAGAGACAGTCTTTAACTTAAAACACCGATGTTCTGGCAGCGCGGTGTCCAACTATCCTTAAACAAATACTTTCACATTTTGGCTGCCAAGCTGCCGTTTAGCTTAGCTTAGCTTAGCTTAGCATCAAGACTGGAAACAGAGAAACAGCCAGCCACCCTGTGCAAAGGAACAGAATCAACTTAGCAGCGGCTCATTAATTCGTTTGTTCTCGTTTGTTTAATTGTATCGGAGCAGTTACTTTCTGGAGACTCTGCTGGCCTTTAGTTTATACTGCAGCTGCAACAGTTAATTGAATAAATCAGATTCCAGCTTTGTAAACGTGAATACGTTCTAGTTTTCTCAGTCCTCTGTGACCGTAAACTTCTTTTTTCCGTTGGATCGTTGATCAGATTAAACAAGACATTCAGTGACTTCATCCCGGGAACTTGTAACATGCAATTGTTTAAAAATCATTTGCGGACATCTTGAAGACCAAAAGATGAGAATAATCAGTAGATTCATCAGTAATGGGTTTTTGTATGAGTCTGAACAAAGCGAGATACACAGCTTCATATTTACTGTCCAAACATGAGAGTGGTATCACATCCTCTCGTCTGATTTCCCAGTGATGAACCACAGCAGAGGCAGAAACTTACACTAGACAGATGGTCAGGAGACGCTGTAACTGGGTGGTTACACCAGATGTGAAAATGTCAATATTTTTACAAAACACTCTGTAGCTCCAAAGAAATGTCCTAAACTCCCATGACCACTTGGAGCAATCATCCATTTCTTGTATTTCTTTCTTTTGCCAGATAAGGGTGTGGACAAACACGCCTGTATCCGTTACAGAAAATCATATTTAACACAGTTCTGACATGTAGGTGACGTTTGTTATTTGATGTTGACCCGATGCCTGAATGATGCACATGAAGAAAAATGACACGAGAGGCCGAGAGCTTGTTGCAGTTTGCAGGAACAGGCTGCACGGGGGGGGGGGGCTGAAAGTAGATGTCCAAGGAATAAATCAACTTTTCCCTGACATACGTTTGTTGTTAGACGCCGCCTTTCAGGATCCGGCATCCATCAGAGACACTTCTGCCTCCAGTTCCCGGGAAGTCAACATCACTGAGACAAAGCAGTTTCCGACCAGGACCAAATGTGTTTTCTATTTAAGATAAGGGTGTGTACGTGTGTCCGTGTTGGACTGATAGGCTGTAACCTGAGAGGCGCAAGGGACTGAGTCATCGGGAAAAACCTGGACTGTCAAAAGAAAAGATCATGAGTTTAAATGTGATCCCAGCGAGGAGGGAGGGGTCGGATATATATTCCCTCTTATCGCACCTACATCCATGTATCATTTAGATTTTTGAGATAAGAATGATGTCGAAGCAGAAATATGAGGCTGAGGTCGGAACCTGAACACATCACTTATCAAACCTCGAATCACCTTTAAAAACATGACTGCACGAGTCTCAAAGTTCCTATAATATTCCCTTAAAAACATTGTGATTTCCAATTTACCACGGCTCTGAATATTTGTTAAAAAAATAGACAAAGATTCAGAAAGTACCAACACATATTATGGTCTGTATTCTTGTTGTTAACAACCTAATTATAAACCATTTATAAATCTTTTAGAAGGGCGGTGTGACTCATTCAGACTTCATTTAGAGTTTGTCCACCAGAGGGCGCCGTCACGTAGATTTTTAAACTGTAAAATAATAAAAAATAAACTATTTATAAAGCAACTGTCAAAACAACGTCACAAACCGTTTCACGCAGAGAAAACGAAATGAAAACAAAACCGCATCATAATCCAGCAAATAAAAGTATAGTGAACAAAACACAATAAAATTAGATTAAAATATTAAAATAAACAAATGAATCACATGAAACAGTGAGGCTGGAAAAATAAAACTTCAGGCTAAATGACTATTGGATTCTTTAAAATCAATATTGATGTATGATTTTTTTAAATTGATATAGTCTATTATTCAGGCTTTATTTTCCATGTATTTCACCGAGAGACAACAGCGTCTTTCACAAACATGTAGGGAGTTTAGAATAATTATTGCTAGCCTATTTAATTATACTTTTGCCATTTCCTCCAGTGTCAACACGACAAACAATAAATATAATTCATAAATATTATCCAACTGTAGCACGGCACAGGTCAGGAACTGAAAGTACAGCTGTGACAGGTCGGGTGGAGTCGTCAGAACATCATTTCACGTCTTTAACGATGAGAACAGAAATAAACAAAAGAAATAAACAATTGTTATGGAAAGCACCAGTTTAATATTCTGTCGCCACTAAGGGAACTACAACCTAAGACGACCCCGTCCTCTGCCGACGACTTGACTCTCGTCTGTTCCCAGAGCAGGAGTGCGATCGATCCTTCAGGATAAACAGAAGAATTCATCTTGAATAAAAAAAAGCACCAGCCACCAGATGAGGCAATTAGGCTCCCGGGGAGAGATGGATGGACGTTGGGGTTTAATGAGGACAACATGTGGCGAGTTACTGTGATCTAAGACGGGTGGAGGGTAATGACCACTTGGGGAGTCTGCAGTTAAAAAGAGGATAAACTAACTTCCTTTACGTTTCGAGCTTCATACATATCGATTTTTAAAAGCTTCGTGCTATCAGATGAAATCGTGCGTCTGTGATTGGTCCAGATCTGCGTGTGTCCTCTCATTAATTGGTCTCATTGATCACGCCATTGAGAGACACCGGTGGACCCTGATGTCTCCTCCGGGTTAATGTCTCCCTCGGCAACGCACCACGCGCCAGATGGAGCCGTCTCACATCAGCGCCGGCCCGCTAACCCCACCCCTGCCCGAGTTAATGATGATGTGTGGCGCTGTGCAGTTACCCATAATGCTACGCCCCGGGGACACCCATAAATCTTTGCACTTCACTCCCATTTTCATATCAGCCTTTGTCACGTCTGTTTCTCCAGCACAGAATTCAGATCATATTAGTCCGTATGTTACACAAGAGCTGGTGGAAATATAACGGCGTTACCATGGTATTATCAAGATATCTGGAGACTACGAGCCACGTGTCTGAGAGTGAGACGCTGACAAGCTAACAGTGTTTTATCACAGTCGTACAAAGGACAGTTACTCAAGTACAATTTGGAGTATTTCCATTTAATGCTAGAGGGAAATACTGTGTTTCTTATTCATCTACATTTATTTAAACAGAGTTAGTTACTTTTAGTGTTTCTAATAAAAATATAATCAAGTAATAAATTATCGATTATTATTGGTTACTGTAAGATACTAAGCAGTGTATAAAGTAATTCAAATTATCCCCTGCAACATTAAAGTGATTAAAGACATGATGCATCACTGGTTATAATCCAGTAATATAATATATATTAGTGATGGGCACTTTCAAATAAAATAAAACTTAACTTGATGTTAATACTTAAGTAACATTATGAATGCAGGACTTTATGTGTGCCAGTATATTTTCACACCGTGGTGATGTCACTTCCACTGAAGTAAAAGATCTGAATACTTCCTCCACTGAAAGGCCATTATTTTATGCTAATTTATATTTTCTCCTGTAAACTTCTGTATCTACTGGGAGTAAATACTGAATTTTGTAGAGATATTTTAAAATATTACATGTTATAATAGATTATATAATGTATAATCCTCTGGAACTAAGAATTGCGTTTCATCTTTTATGTGGCACTGTCACGTTTTCTACAGTGGCCCAGAATGAACAAACCAAACACCAGCTTTATGTTACCTGAAGGCCACCGTAGTTTCACAAAGGGAGGGGTGAGGGGAGGGGTATTCATATGGATGCAATCTGCAACGTCTCCACTAGATGCCACTAAAACTACCCACTGGTTCTTTAACTGTTTTGTCCATAAAATGTAAAAAGAAAAAGAGACATTTGGTGACCAAGGTGACGTCTTGTTTTGTCTGAAACAACAGTGTGAAAGCCAAAGATATTTAGTTTCAAATCCTCATATTTGAGAAGCTACAAACATCAGTGAAGCGTGGCGCCAAGACGATTCTGCTGATGAAGTGATAATGAGGTTTTTTTCTTTTTCTTTCCCTTCTCAATCTTGTTTCAGATCTTTGGAGCGGACGATGTGGTGTGCACAAGGATCTACGTACGTGCGTAGCAGAGCTCCATGTCCAACACATAATCAGTCAGTGTGAGAAATTTCACATAAAAATCTCCGATGGTGTTTCTCACATTCAGTGTTTCGCATTTTCTTTTTTTCCAGCTGCTTTTTTACCCCATTTTTGTACATAATTTTTCTTGCATTGGAAATTAAATGATCAAAGTATGATTTCTTTTTGTTATATTGTTCAACTCATGCTTTCGACCTCCAGACAAAAAAAAAAAAGCAGCAGCAGAAGTAGAAGTGTGCAGACTCCAGACCTTTTCTTCCTTCTTACATTAATAATAAGTGGCACGTATCATACACAGGGTTTCTGGAGGGAAAACCGAGTCAAATTTCAGACCTTCAGTTCTGTTTTTAATACCACACAGAGTTGAATTTAATACCTGTTTCATTTAGAAATGCTGAATTATTTAGTTCATGAATTTATTGACATCTGTATCACATTTTTTTTAATTATTTTTTTTAGTTCCAGTTCCTCCGTTCTGTGTGTAACAATAATTTCAGCTCATATCTTTTTATCATGACCTTGAAAAGCAGCAGAAACTGGATGAATGGATTTATGGATTATCCAATTAAAGAAAATACCAAACTGGAACAATAATTGTCGAATTTTTCTGGCTTTTTGTTGTTGTTTTTTTTTGCTAAAATCCCACACAAAAACATTTTATAAACTAAAATTACCATCATTGTAAAATTAAAAGACACTTCTTTTTTTTAATATCCTCGAAGGCATTTTTTTAAAGAGGAAAGTGAAATGAATGAAAACTTAAAACACAATGGCAGAAAAGAAAAAGGAAGTGGTCAACGTTGAGAGATTCTGTCTATTCAAAGGATAGTTTAATGCCAAACACCATACTAACACTCATGTACAACATCGTAAAAGTCGAGAGAAGAGACACATTGAACGAGGTACAAACGATGTCTGTATGTACAATCAGCTCCCCGGGACCTCCTATGGTTTTTCCATATTAAACACAGTGTAGTTATAAAAATAAAAACCCACGTAATAAACTGTTCCGAGATTGTCTGCAGCTGGTTATGTGACTGACCTGTTCGCCTTAAAACGGAGCTCAGGTGAACGTTGAAGGATCCTGAAGAAAATGATACTGATCGGTCTGATTTCCTTTTAATGGTTAATGTTAATGAAACGTTTGCTGCTCATGTGTCGACTTTCCTAAACTACAATATCTACACGGCCAATTCCAGTTTCACTAAACAAACTGCAGAGAGGAAAAGGCAATTTAAAAAAAAAAAAGAAAAGAAAAATCCTTAAGTTTACATCCCTCTTTAAAGGGAATACAACATTCACATTTGTATTTCAGCGGGAAATACAAACCGATAGCTTTGATAGACTGCGACCGAAGGAATTATTGCTCGCTTGTTTTCTTACTCTTTAAACTGTACACAAGTCACACGGCTGACATTCACATATAGACCTACTATACATCAGGCAGTGTTCGTCATCAACACTGCGCTTAGAAAAAATAAACACAACTCACGTACGCGGTTTTTCTTTTATGTGCGTTACATTACGAGACCGCTGAAACCTGCGATTCAGAGTCGGATCATTTGGTAGATAGTTTGAATACAAGAAAAAAATAAGAGTTGATAGTACTGTTGAGGCCGAAGTACTTTGAGAAACGGACACACGCTGTAACTTTCGAAAAGAAAAAGGAGAATTTGCTGCTCAGCTACATTCAATCATCTTAAAACCACGAGTGATACTGATACTGAAGAAGGTAGAAAGGCGCAGAAAGGGCTCGAAACACGTATAAAATGGGACTTGTTTTTCTACTAAACAAAGACTTTAGGAACATCACGTTCAACAGACCACAAACAGAAAAAGGTCTAATATTTCATCCTTTGGTAAAAAACAGTTAAAATTGAGCATTTTCTTAATAAACTTCTCTGCAACCTGGAGCTAAAGATCGATGCTATGTGAGTGTTGACGTACGCTACACATAAATGACATTTGATAAGAAAAACAAAACAAAAAAATCTAGATATAAACAACATATTTACACTAAGTGTTTGGGCGGTCATAAATTATTACACTTGATACACACTGCTGGCATTGCACATGTACCCAGCAGTTGCCAGAGATGTTAAAATATATATAGTGCACTACAGCACCTTCACCACCGAAAGGGGAAACATTCACAGGCTATACAAGTTTTACAGCTGAGTCCGAGTCGAGTACATACATTTTAAGCGAGGTAGCGGAGACTTATTCTTGCTACCTTGAGAGAAAATCTGAGGTTGTTTCTTTTTATTTCCTTTCAAATTCTAATTCATTTCATTCTGAAGTTGCTGAGTTTGTGTTATGAAATGCTTACCTAGTTTGGTTTTTGTTTGTTTGAACTGTGAACTGAGACGCAGTAAGGAGTGTTTTCTCTCTCTGTATTCACCTCAGGTAAAAAGAAATCTGCATTTCATATTATAATGGCTCCTCTGAGACGGGGGGGGTTTTACAACATTTGCTGCGTAAGCTTTAAAAGTTATGACAAAGTTCCCCGATAAGTTCTGACACGTTTGCAAAAAAGTGGAAAATTTTACATCCCATTTAAATTCTGGATCGACAACCCAAAACATTTTGGCAACTGGATCCGGTGACGGCAGGTTGTGTGTTATAAGTCACCGCTGGCAGCTTGTTCACTGCCACAGAGAGACTACAGTGTTCTGTACTTCACCCGGTACTTGTTTACGTTGAGATAATGGAGGACCTCCGGGTTGCAAGTGGTGGTGCAGGACAACAGGCCTTCTCGTGCATCTCCCATCAGCCACTTGTGGCTCTCAGCAGCCATGTCGCTGGTCACGTGCTCTTTAGCCCAGGTGTCCAGCCAGGCCTGGAAGCGTCTGTGCAGACGTGTGTTGACCCGCTGGTGGGACTGAAAGAGACACGAAGCAGAAGGACACAGATCATCCTCTGGGACCAGGTCACAGTAAGTCACACATCTACAGAGAATCATCTCAGTCATCCAGGTAGTAAATGATCCACACAAAATGCACCATATCGGCCTGAATGCGGGACAAACCTGATCGTGACGACCTCGCTTCTCCGACAGCTGTTTTTGAGAAAAAGACTTTTACACTTGTTCTGTTTGGAAAGTTTCCCTGAGATGTCATTAAATCAACGAGACTCTCTCTCTCCTGTCAGACGCCTGGACGTCATCAAAATTATTTTCTCTGACAGTTGGCATGTTTCACTCTCTCTTTTTGAGCTCATCCTGTGACAGCTGTAATTCTTGGCTGTGCGACAGATTCCCTCCCTGGTTCCTTGCTGCAGTAAAAACACAGACACACTACGAATTTGTTTTCTGTCGTGGTTTAGTTCCTCTGTGGAGGCAGAACATGCTGCATGAGCAACTCCTGCAGGTTAAACTGGGCTAACAAAACTCTGCTGACTAATCCTGAACAACAAGACGACAAACGGACTCAAAAACTCAAGTTTAAAATAAAAACATCGTCTTATGTTCCGGCTAATGTAATATACATCCACTGGACTGCAGGAAACTGAAGGTTATTCTACGTCTTTGGTTGTAATGACAGGCAGGAAAAGAAATCTGTATTTATCCTTTAGGGACAAGAGGTGCTAGCTACAACATACAAGACATTACATCCAACAGATTTAAGATCTGATCCTATGTCTTTGGTGAAAATGTGTTTCTTACTACAGGACAGATTTCGTTCTGGACAGCTGAAACACAGGATATGGTCTGTAATAGAAACGGACATTGAACAGCACAGAAAGAGAAAGCCAGTGTTTTCCTGTAGCTGATATTACTACAGCTTATTTCAAGAGCTTTAAGGGGTCGTTTCATTTTTTTTCTCTCGTCGTATTTAGTTACCAAATAGTCCTACACATTGGTATGAGCATGTTTCCATCTATCAGATTAGAAAAAGCCTTTTGACGAGGGAAAAACTCAGACATTCACTTTAAAATACAACAACGTGGCTCCTGATGGGATTTAATCTAAATTTAAAGGACGACCAGCTGAAAAACAGGAAGTAATTGTGGATGTAACTGTTACTGGCGGTGAAAAATGACACACATTAAAAACACATGAAAATCAGTGATCAGAGTAGGTAACGTTTAAATCATCACACCTCCCACAGAGAAACAAATATAAACTACACTATTATCAAACTAACTAAACTGTTTTGTGTGCTTACCTGATGAGCCCGTGTCAGTGCCGTGTGCCTGTACATGTAGTCTTCTGACTTGCAGACGTAGACCATCTTGTAGGAGTTGAGCTTGAACATGCACTCCATCTTCAGCTCACTGTTTCCGTCCTGCGACTTCTCCAACGGGGCCTTGGTCATTCTCTCCTGTTGCAGCTGCTCCCATCCTCTCTGGCACTTCCTTATCCGTCTCAAATTCCTGAAGGCCAAAAAGAGATCAACCATGAATATCACCGACGGATCTCAGAGAAATTATTTTCATTACTCCACACATCAAAGAAAAGAAAGAAAAAAGAAAAAAGAAAAGAAACAAAAACAAAAACAAAAAAATCACGTTTGCAGGGAAAGTTCGCACAAATTTCTAAAATCTGTAAACTGTTATATTCACATTATATGGCACAATTCTGTTTGACAGTATGCACTGTGCGATTTAATCAAGTCTAGAGGACAAGGTCAGGCAAAATACACGACATTAAGAACATCTGAAAACAGTAAAGTCAAATTTGAGAGGACTGTCCCTTTAAACAATTATTTTTTAAACCCATGCATTGCAACTCACCGAGTAACAGAATTAGATCGGGAGTCAAATCATTCGTGGGAAAAGTGGATCTATAAGAGCAGCAGAGGCAGCAGTCGTAATATTTCTGTACAGTGCACTTCCGTTGCACAGCCGCATGGTTCGATCTAAATACGCTTGGCAAACAGATATTTCTTTTACTTGGAAATTGATCTTGATTTTGTGCAGGTTAACAAAAATGCAATTATTCACCCCACCTGAATGAAAGTTTTAAATGTGTACTTACCACAGAGGTTACAGGTGAGCGAGGACTGAAACCATGAAGCATATTTTTGCATTCAGGGCTCCACTTAAAAGACATGACAGTGAGGCCAATTTCAAGTAAAAACTGTTATATAGATATAGATATATAGATATGAGCTGAGAATACTTTGATGTGCACATACTTCCACCAACAATGTACAGAGTGTTATGATCATGAGATGAAGACCCAACATAACTGGAAAAGAAACTGCTGGAATTTCACTGCCATTGAAGATTTTAGTGAAGAAGGGAAAGTCTTTTGACCTCTTGTGCTGCTGATCTCTCATAGATTTGATGAAAACAAACAAACAAACAAACTAAATAAATAAATAAATAAATAAAAAGATGTGGGTGAGCCCACTGATAAATCACAGCCAGGTACCAGATTTATGCAATGGGTTAAATAAGAACTAAAAACTAAGAGCAAATTGTCTTTTATGTTTTTAAAAGGCCTTTTGAAATGTGTATGGTAATGGACAGCCATCTCAAAGAAACTAAAAACTCAAAAAAAGCACCAAAAACAATGGCAGACAGGCTTTATGTGCAACACTCATTTGGAGCTTTTATGACAGAGCAGACACAATCACGCCTCCATGCACAGCTCTGAGGTGTCGGGAAAGAAATACACCAACATATGAACATACAATTTAGACGTTCATTTTATTTACAAACCCTACTCCTCTGTACAAGTGTTGCAGATAATGTGCTTGACCAGAGTTTTAAAAAACATATGAGCACTAATCTCTGTCAAACCAGTGGAAAAATCTCACCCACAACAAAAAGTTGCAACGGGAGTGCACTGTTTCCACTGAAAATTATTACAAACATAACACTGAGTATAACAGACTTAAACAAATGGACATTTCAACAGTTACAGTTGCAAACAGTGAATAAGTCACATACAGGACCTTTGATCTGGATACAATCACAAACAAAGGGCATGATAAGGTAGAAAAGGAAACCACGACTTCACCGTCCTCTTTAACAAAGTCTCTCTGGTCCAACACAAAAGCTTTAGTCTCTCAAACTCAGGTCACAGACATCGTAGAAAAATGAAATAAAAATGACAAAAAGGTGGAACCCATTTGTTTTGCTCTCAGCTTGTGCATTCAACGACTTTTTGTTCTTATGTTACACAATGAAAAAATCACCATTTAATATTCAATACAATGTGAATAATCAAACCAAATTTTTTTTTTTTTTTCCTTATAACTGTCTGCTAAGGTGGAAATTCAAAACCCACGATCAAGCCAGAACCATTTTTAAAAAACCTTACTATTAATAAATAAAATTCCCCATTAAAAAGGAACTGAATCAATGAATAAATAAATTCCATTTTTTTTTTTTTTTTTTTTAAAAAGATGGCCATGTAAAGTGCAATCTTCCAAGTGAGGCAGAGGTCGGAAACTGAAAGAGTCATGTTAATGGCCAATGAGAACAGACAGGAGGGCATTCGGGCACTGCGAGCACTTCAGTGTAACTGAACTGGTGTTTCTCTTTCTGACGAACCTTCTCAAACCTTTTCGTGTTTGTCTGTTACTTAAAAAAGAAAAAAAGAAGAAAAAAAAAAAAAAGCAGACGCTCTTATGCCCCACCACACTTTTGTGATGAGCATGAAGATGAAGCTTTCTAAAGTCACTTGTTGTGCAGAACAGTACCACTGTTCTATCTCTAAAATGAGTGTATTTGGCAGCAGTTTGGCTTGTAAACAGTGGAGTGGTGCTCGGCTGACTAGTGCCTCAGGACAGACAAGCTTTAAGTGTGCAGACAAGAGAGAGGGGGTGTGGGGTGGGGGGGTGGGGTGGGGTGGGGGGGGGGCATGGCTGGAGCCTCACCTGGGAAGGAACACCGGCTTCTGGGCCAGATGTTCACGCAGCTCTGGAGATGCAGAATCTGAGTTCAGGTATCTGCTCACGTAGTCTGACCACCTCTGTGGAGGAGAGAGCGGAGAAAAAATAAATACACCAGAGTTTTTCCCCTCGGACGGTTTTTCCAGCAGCCGTGCCGTTGTGAGCGCGTCCGTGAGAAGTGTTCATCACTCCCACTGACGTCTTTTTTAACTGGCAACTCAACTGTTTCACACACTAACACGCACATTTACCCTCACATTGAATATTAACCATTCCTGCAAACCTGAGGGAATAAAGACCGTCCAAGAGTTTTATACCGACATCAATGTGCTGATCTTTCATCAATACATCGACACATGCCTAAGCAATACTGATTTACCAAAACCAGAGGAAGTACAGAAGTAAAAATGTATTTATACAGCACCTTTCACAGAAAATATATAAAAGAATACATCATAAAAAAGCACAAAGAAACACAAAATAAAAGAAATAAAATAAAAGGGGAGGGTCACGAGTTCCCTCATAGAATCTCCCAAAAGTGTAATCTTGGAAAAGTCAAGCCGACAGATTAACATCCAAACTTCCCCCAGACATGAAAACTACTAGTCTGTCTTGGACTGAAACCTGAAGGAGTCTCACCTCTGCCTCTGCTGGCTCATCAGAGTTCTCCTCCTCTGTGTCCAGCAGCTCCATGGCCAGACTGACAGATCCTCGGCTCTTCACGAACATCAACTACATTAAANATGGCCAATGAGAACAGACAGGAGGGCATTCGGGCACTGCGAGCACTTCAGTGTAACTGAACTGGTGTTTCTCTTTCTGACGAACCTTCTCAAACCTTTTCGTGTTTGTCTGTTACTTAAAAAAGAAAAAAAGAAGAAAAAAGAAAAAAGGCAGCGCTCTTATGCCCACAAGTTTTGTGATGAGAGAAGAGAGCTTTTCTAAAGTCAGGCTTGTTGTGCAGAACAGTACCACTGTTTCTATCTCTGAAAATGAGTTGTATTTGGCAGCAGGTTTGGCTTGTAAACAGTGGAGTGGCTGCTCGGCTGACTAGTGCCTCAGGACAGAAGCTTTAAGTGTGCAGACAAGAGAGAGGGGGAGTGGGGTGGGGGGGGTG